GACTCAATCGGTGTCCTACAAGAAAAATCCTGCTGCAATTCGTGGTCATCAAACTTCTCGCTCGTTTTCCGCGAGGACCAAAGACTTGTCCCGCGAAGGACATCCAAACTATATGGAAAAGCCAATACCACCAGAGCGATATGCCTCACCTGATGAGTATGCCACTTCGCAGGGCAGCGTAACAGATTCTAGACTTTCTATTTCAAGTTCGGTGAAGCGAGATGACTCTTATATGGCACCATCACCTAGAGACAGTCACCAAACACCGTTGAGTCGCTCTAACACAGTGCACTCCACGGCGGAGCAAAAGCATGATTGGGCAGCAGATCGGTCACCTCTTCAAAAGCTTGAAGTGGCACTCACTGGAATCAGCAAAGAGGAGAAACGAGCGCGAGTCTTGGAAGCTGAGATGAGGCTGAAAGAACGGATGGCACGTCAGCAATTTGAAAATAACAGTCGCGCAGCTGTTCCGGTGCAGTCTCATCAGAAAACTGTACCGCGAGATACGTCGAGCCCTCTAACAGAAGTTTCTCAGCGGACAGACCCTGAGCAGCCAGCTCTACCGCGTCAAAGGCCGGCTCCAGGTCCTTCAGACAGAGCAAAACCTCCTCCCGCGCGGACGTCCTCGGTACAACATCCAGTGCCATTGCCCGCTAACGTACCGCAGCATGCAAGAGGCTACCCCCAGAATACGGGAGTTGTTAGGACTGGCAATGCTCCCAGACGGTCTGTTTCCGTGAGCCACCCAGCAGGAAATAACGTTATGGGCTCGCAATCAACGAAACTGAACATGCCACGAGATATTAGCGGTCCTTACACTGCGGATACTCCCCAGGCCCACCGGTATCCTGCCCCTGCTGCGGGACAGACGCCATATCTAAACCTTGCAGCGTCCGGGCCCCGACCAATGCCACAAGCTATAAGAAGAAAAGAGCTCCCCACAGCGGCTACTGGGCCACAGCAAGCGGACCCGAATGCCAACCCGACTGGGAGTGGGTCCACTAATAATGCTATGCATGCACATTCCGATTCGAGTCGAGAGCCAGGTGGGAATGCCACAATGGCATCGCAAAGCTTTGAGAGCGAGCCTGCGTCGCAGCCTAAACCTAAGCGGCAAACCGTTTCGTTCAATGTCCCACCACCAACGCCTCCACCTTTGTCTGAGTGGAAAACAGCACCAGTGGCAAGACTGGGTGCTTCTGACTTTGACTACCAAGATTTCGATGTTGATAAAAGTAAGGCCTGGTGGGAAGGCGGTGGAAACAACAACCGCCGAAAGAGTAGGGCTCTGCCAAACAACTACCAGAAGCCACCAAACACCAAGCCATCAGGTATGTCCTATCCCTTGATATGTTTACCCAAGATTACAGATTTCTGGGACGGATACTAAGTGTGAAATATAGCGAATAAGCGCTTCCAGCCACACATTTTTCTTAAATGCGGTCCTTTACTCCGTTACGGAGGATTAAAGCGGGTGCGAATTGATGGGCCTAATGGACCATTCGATAAGGAAACTTGGAGAGGGAGTGTGTTGATTGTGACAAGGGATTCTCTCTCTTCATATGAGCCACTGCCTACTCTAAGGTTATTTCCTCAGCCAATGGATCTGCTCCCGCCTCCTCCGACTGAATTGGATGGAGAGGATGCTAAACTAGCCCCTGAGTATGTGGACCCGACAGCTGGACTTATGAAATTTGGGCGAGATGGTCGGCCTCTTTATGTTAAGCCGGTAGATCATACAGAAGAGGAGCTAGACCTCTCATGCATTGAAAATGACGACGGCATCTATGAGATGTCACCCAGCATCATTGACTACAGCAGCGAGGGTATCAAGCAAGCCATCCCAGCTAACAGAGTCCATTCTATGGATGGAGAAACTGCAGGCTTCTACAAGGAGGTTGCGGGGGCTCGCCTCTATGCCGACCCAGGAAGAGATGTCACTTTCTGGAGGTTTAATATTGAGATTGAATTAGGGAACACACAGCAGCGAATCGCATATCGTCTCAACCAAGGACCGGCTTTGGGATTCTGGGTGCCTGCCAGGGGGCAGTCGATGAACATAATGTACCACACATGTAACGGCTTTACCCCAGGCGTCGACTCTAACAAACTCTGTGGTCCAGACCCTCTGTGGCGAGACGTGCTCAATGAGCATCAGACTCGCCCATTCCATGTCATGGTTGGTGGAGGAGACCAGATATTCAACGACAGGATTACAGCAGAATCACGCTTTTTCCAGGAATGGGTCAAGATGAAAGATATCCATGAGAAGTACGACACGCCGCTAAACATGGAATTCAAGGCGGAGTTGGAAAACTCCTTTCTTGAGCACTATTCACGGTGGTTTTCACAGGGGCTTTACTCCCTTGCGAACTCGCAAATACCCATGGTTAACCTCTGGAATGACCATGAGATCATCGAAGGCTTCGGATCTTACCCCGATGAGTTCATGAGCACGCCCGTAATCTCAGGGCTTGGTAACATAGCATTCAAATACTACTTGCTATTCCAGCATCACAGCGTTCCGGAGGAGACCGAAGCAGATGAGCCTAGTTGGCTGCTTGGGGCTCTTCCTGGACCGTATATTAACCACCGAAGCCGCAATTTGTTCATGTCTCTAGGTGGTGGGGTGTCTCTCCTTGGCCTAGACTGCCGGACTGAACGCATGGTGAGACTACGGAACCTCTTTAGCAGCAGAAAAGTGGTGCTAACATAATATTCTAGAATGACGAAGTGCTCAGCGAACAAACTAGTGATCTAATTTGGGACAGATGTCATCGTGAAATTGTCCGGGGCGAGACAAAGCACTTGCTAGTGCTGCTGAGCATTCCGGTTGCATATCCTAGGGTAGTATGTTACGAGCGCTATAACCGCAATATTTTCCCCTTCTAACCTTCTCATAGGCGATGGTGAAAAACATTCTAAACAGCCGGAAATCGCTCGGCAAAGCCGGGCTGTTTGGCGGTTTTGTAAACAAGAGTGGGAGCAAGATTGAGATCTTTGATGACCACTGGACAGCTAAGCACCACAAGTCCGAACGCCAATACTTGATCGAGGATCTTCAGGACTTGGCAGCAGACAAATCCGTCCGTGTGACCATTTTGAGGTAAGAAATTGTACTCTGCCATCTTGCAGGGCGGACCTAACAAGCATCTTTTTTTAGCGGCGATGTGCATTTGGCTGCCATTGGCCAATTCTACTCGAACCCGAGATTGAACTTGCCTAAGGACAAAGACTATCGATACATGCCCAACATCATTTCCTCAGCTATTGCAGACATTCCCGAGACGGAGATGGTGTCAGACACGCTCAACAAACGGAATCGAGTTCATCATCTAGATACCAATACAGACGAAGACATGATACCCATATTTACGCATGATGTGAATAATAAACCACGGAATAACAAGCGATTGCTACCACGCCGAAACTGGTGCTCCATCCGTGCGTATCAGCCAGGTCAGTACTTTTCTCATTAGCTTATTAGCGCTTTTTCTGTACGTTGCTAACTAGGCGTAGGTTTTACCCCACAAACAACACCAGAACCTGAATCGTCGCCGCTAGTGGAGGAGCCTCGACCGGGCAAGTTGCAAAGAACACTGTCCTTGACACGCGGGGATAGACCCCAGGGTAGTGGCGGCTTGTTGCGCCGACTCTCAGGGCGTGGACGGCCACCGACCAAGGACTTTAACCTTGAAGGGAACCCAGTTGGACGTCGTATGAGTATGGATGGCCCATTTCCGCCTGCAGAGACAGGTGATAGCTACTTTCCACCGCCGCCAGATTCTCGCCCAGCCCCGTTCCTTCGACGGCCTACGAATTTGAGCCGGAAGGTATCTAAAAAGGCTGCAAAGCAGGGAGACGATGGGGTTGGTGCCTTCGTTAATTTAGAAGGGGGCTTGGCTATTTCCTTGAACTTGGAATTGAACCCGAAAGACCCATCTGGTATTACGACACCATACAAATTGCTCGTGCCGATGCTGCGGTACGAAGGAGATGAGTACGATCCCCCCGCGGCACCAGTTGCGAAGGGCTGGAAGCGGTGGTTGAGTGTAGGGAGAAGTAAGAGAGAAAAGCAGAATGTGGAGGACACCGAAGCCGAAGAAGGATTCAGCGATGAGGAGGATGAGGATGAGTACGACCAGGATATTTCTGGACGCCCAGCAGGACGCGAGCATGAGTACGTTGCCGGTAGAGACGCACCTCCTGAGACATTAGTTCCGGTTGCTAGACCAGACGAACTGGAGTATGACGGTGTTGCGGAAACTTCGAGGAGGAGGAAGTGGTTTGGCCGATGAGCCGACTGATATGATTTGATCTGATATGATTATGACGATTGATGATGATAATGATGATACTGACGACGACAATTATGTTGATAATGAATGTAAGATCTATAAACTACTACTTGTATACCGTGGATACCCTCTGAATATGAACGTGATGAGTCGTTCCTGTGGCTCGCGTCTTCTTATCATACTGAATTATGGAGTATTGGATTTAAGATTTTTGGATTCTGCCTGAATTCAAAAGATTCCGGCGATTGATCCGAGATAAAGAATTGATCGATAATCAGTGGCGGTCTCGGCCCGTGACTGCTTTCTAAGCACCCCTGCACGTGATCCGGTCTCGCCGTCGCCAATCCGTAATATTTTTTCCTGTACCTGGTCGGAGAGAGAGAAAAGTCGCTTCCGTGGTGTTCTTATGCAATTCCATTCTTTGTCATTAAAACTGGTTTATTCATCGTCTCCACACGGATTCTAGGTAGGGAAATCAGTCTCATGGTCGCGAACGTTTAGCTAATCTTGAACCATCCAGCCTTTTTTTCGTCAGGCCGTCCCCACCACCCGGCAATCTGAGCCCCTCTTCGCCTCTTTCTCTGCGCTCTCCCTGAAAGCCATAATTAAAGCCGCCTCTTTCCCGACCCGACTTCCTTTCTTTCCTTTCCCAATCTTCTTCCCAACACCGTCAAGCTGTTTTCCTTCGCCTCTCGACGACTTCCCTTTTCCTCTCTTCGATCCTCGCTCGGATTGACAGCCGCTGCTGCGTCGTCTCTGCACCAGAAATCCTCACCGTCCGCTTCAGTCCTATCAAATAGTCTTTCGACGCCCCTGCGCGTCAGTCAAAGTTCAGCATCCAGGATGGTGCACACCAAGGTCGTTAGTGAGTCTCCCTCTGTTTTTCCTATACAATGTTGCCGAGGCCAGTTGGAGATAGATATTAACTGGTCCCCCCCTCCCCGTAGTCATTGGCTCCGGCCCCGCCGCACACACCGCCGCCATCTATCTCTCGCGTGCGGAGCTCAAGCCTGTCCTCTATGAGGGTATGCTGGCTAACGGCACCGCTGCTGGCGGTCAGCTTACCACCACTACCGACATCGAGAACTTCCCCGGCTTTCCTGATGGCATCGGTGGTACAGAGCTGATGGAGAACATGCGCAAGCAGTCCATCCGGTTCGGAACTGAGGTCATCACTGAGACTATCTCGAGAGTGGATTTCTCGCAGAGGCCGTTCAAGCTGTGGACGGAGTGGAACGATGGTCCGGACAATGAGCCCGCCCACACTGCCGATGCCATCATCATTGCCACTGGTGCCAATGCCCGTCGTCTTGACCTGCCCGGTGAGACCCAGTATTGGCAGAACGGAATCAGCGCCTGTGCCGTCTGTGACGGTGCCGTGCCAATTTTCCGTAACAAGCCCCTCTATGTGATCGGTGGTGGTGACTCCGCTGCCGAAGAGGCCATGTTTCTGGCCAAGTACGGCAGCTCGGTTACCGTTTTGGTCCGTCGCGACAAGCTTCGTGCCAGCAAGGCCATGGCCAACCGTCTCCTGTCCCACCCCAAGGTGACCGTTCGATTCAACACCGTTGCGACCCAGGTCCTGGGTGAGGAGAAGCCCATGGGCTTGATGACCCACCTGCGTGTCAAGAACACCGTCACCGGCGAGGAGGAGACCGTCGACGCTAATGGTCTCTTCTACGCTGTTGGTCACGACCCCGCCACCGCCTTGGTCAAGGGCAAGATCGACCTCGATGACGAAGGATACATCATCACCAAGCCTGGCACCAGCTACACCAGCCTGGAGGGTGTCTTTGCTTGCGGTGACGTCCAGGATAAGCGCTATCGCCAGGCCATCACCAGTGCCGGTATGTCATGACCCTACCACCATTGCCCCCACCCAATGTCACATCATATACTAACAGTCTTTCACAGGTTCCGGCTGCATTGCTGCTCTCGAGGCTGAGAAGTTCATCGCTGAATCCGAGTCCCCTGAAGAGAAGGCTCCTGTCAACGAGGTCAAGCAAGACCCCCAGGGTAACACCGCGGAGTACAAGTCCAACCCTCTCCTTTAAAACGTCTCCGTCCCGCCACACCTGATCTATAGATTCCTCATCACCCCTTCATCACACCTAGATCTGCCCTACACCGGCTGACTATCATGTTTCATGTCCTACGGATATATCCATTTTGCCTATTTTGATGGTTGTTTATATTAGACTTCAGCGTTCTGGTCATTCTCCTCGGTTTGTGATGGGAAGTTTAATACATTTTTTTTCGGTCCCTTCGATGATACTCGTGGCGCGCATGTTTCATGGGTCGCTGAACTATGAATTTCATATCAATAGACTAGAATATAGAGTAATTCTAGAGGATCCTGATTCAACTCTGGTTTCGTATGGTAGTACATGGAATGATCGTTAAGAGCATATATCTTACATAGTCTGCATCAAATCGTGCAATTCTTGATTGAAGCAAGATCATCTAGGTTGATCTCAATGACTCGACAAGTCAGAGTTGTGCAACGAGCCGTTCATTTGCGTCCCATTCGTGGGGAGATGAACAGTCGTAGCAGTAGTTATTCCATTGGTCTGATCGCTCGAGTTGTTTGTATGCTGTCCCAACGAAGAGACAGACGAAGCAGTACCACCACCATCAGTTGACAAATGGTTTGTCGGTACAGCAGCATCCCCAGAATGTACTCCCCAACTTCCAAATGGATGAGCTGCATACCACTTCGTCTTCAGTTCACCCGCCTTCTGCTCCCACTCGGCGATCTGTTGTTTCCATCGATTCCACATTTCTGCATTTGTCTGTCGATTGACCTCTGTCTGCTCGATGTACGGCCGCTTTTCCTCCTCGCTGGCTCGCCGCCACATGAGCCCGAGCTCATGACGGATCTCATCGCGAGCAGCTTTAGCATTGGGGTCGTTCGTTGCTGCCCGGCGAGCTTCATCGCATTGGGCGCGACATATGCCCCAGTAGTCTTTTTGGTAGAGAAGGAAAGGGTTTAGGCCTGTTCTTGCTGGTCGGGGCATTGGAGGGCCTATTTCCGATTGAATCGACGTCCACATTGCTTGTTCGTAGGCTTGTTGACGGGCTGATGTGGGTGAGGATGATTCTGCTGGGTTGGTGAGAGGCTTGCCCGTGGATGATGCCACAGGCATGGGCGGCTCTTTTCGCTTTTGTCCTGCTGCTGTCGGGGTGCTAAATTCTGTTTTTCCTTTCTCAGGTACGAGGGGGTTCGGTAGGGCTATGGGTCCTAATATGGATTCGATCACTTCGGCGCCGGCGCGGAGCCCAGAGAGGTACGCCCCGTGGACAGTGGCAGGGTGAGTGCCACACGTCGCCTCCCCTGCAAAGTGCAAATTGCCAATCGGCTTAGCCATCTGGTCGTAATCTCCTGGAAGTGCCTGTGCCGCCACGTAGGAGTAGCTGCCCCTAGTAAACTTATCGGACTTCCATCTGGTGATTATTGTTTCTAGTGGATCTGGAACAACCGTATGTTTGAATACATTGCGGAGTTGGCTGGTCACCTCAGCAATAATGTGATCATCAGGTGTACATTCCGCCTGGAGAGCGGCATCTCCGGCCATAAGAGCAATTAGGACAGGGAGTCCGGTAGTCTTCAGACAATTCCAGAAAAGGTAGAATCGACCCCGGTTAGCAGCATAATCCTCTTGAAGGGTGCTGTTTCGATTTGTGGGTTCACGCAGAAGCCCGAACATATCTCGTTCCGTGTCCCAAAATGGCTGGTCAAATACCAGAATCACCTTGTTCATTACTCCAAACCCGAGTCGATCAATGGCTCCACGTTTCCATTCGGGGAGAGGAGGCTCAAACTGGATGGATTGATGCTTGAGAACGCCCAAGGAGCCGGTGAAGACTACTTTGTCTGCCACAAATGATTCGCCGTCTTCACAGTGGATAACTGTCTGTTGTTTCCCCATTCCAGATGGGTCGTATGATATCTTGGACACTATTTTGTTTGTTCGAACGTCGAGTTTTGTGGGTAATGAGAATAGCCCGTATGGGACTTGTTGATACCCACCTACAACCTGCGAATGCTCACCTTCGAACTCATTTCCTATATCTTGATCCCACCCAGAAAGACTAAGTCTACTGACGTTGGTCGCGTTTGCATATTCCAAATTGGCAAAGTGCCAGTTAATCAACCGCATGTCTTTCGAGGATAGCGGGAGCATCCGCTGGTATTGCCGGATGCCCTCATCCAGCACAGCACCTAACGTTTGAGATGACGAAACTTTTGCGACAGGGTCCAGGTTTAAAGTAGCATTAGCTGGAACACCCTCGTTCAATCTCCAACCGTTCACTTGACACGTAAAAGCAGCTGGCTGCTCCTCCGGGCGTGCAAGATCTGCGCCCGGAGCTCCAGGAGCCTTGATGTCTGCGGTTTTATGACCTACACCTCGGCGGACACGCTTTGTGGGAAGCAGTAGGCCGATAGTACCGGAAGCCCTTGCTTCTTCGTACTGTCTTACTGTCACACCATCGCTTGTTGACAAATCGCGACCTGAATCAATCAATTCGCGGTCGCCTTCCGCGGTAGGAACGACGATTGATTTATGTCGATAGAACCCTGAACGGTCCAGGACATCGTCATAGAGCCTTTCATCCATCGCGTCCTGGATCTCATCCACCGGGGAACCATCTATGTCATAGATTGTCGAGATATCGCGTAACAAGTGATATGGAAGAGCCAACTGGCTCCGAATAATTGGGTCTAACGGATTACCACGGTCGAAACCAACAACTATATGCGCACCCATCTCGGCCTTAGGGACTAGTCCGGGGCCTAACTTAGACGTCTGAAGACTTCGTAAAGGATGTGAGTATATACGACCTCCAATTCTGCGTCTTCCTTCTAACAAAATGACCCGCGGAGTTGTGGACGCGTCGCGATAATGACGAAATAGATTCTCCAAGTGCCGTGCGCAACCTAAGCCTGACATTCCAGCCCCAATCACGACAACCACGGGACCTTCCTTGCGCCGGCCTTTCTTTGGAGTTACAAAAGGCATAGGGATTTCGACACAGCCGAAGTTGATGTACCCATTTCGTACCAGCCATTCATACGCGAAAGAGGCGAGATTCATCCAACGGTAATCCTTTGCACATCCAAGAGCTTCCTCCTTGGAAACGCTTACCATGGGATTTCGAGTCCAAAGTCGAAGTATACCGTTCCGTATGTTCAAATACACCGTGACGTGCAGATGGCACAGATAATCCTGCAACGCCTCCTGCTCCTTTATATGCAGTGCGTACGGATTGAGTCTGGACGCATAAGCTGCCGAGACGCATTGCTGAGCGTAAACTGCAGCTGGAAGTCTTGAAGGTATGGAGGATCTTGGGCGATATTTCGGAAGCCCATTCTCGCTACCTGCGTTTTTAGTGTCTGCGACTAGAGAAGAAGAAAGATTGTTGATGATTGTTATCGGTGGGACTGATATATCCTGACTCGGTTGAGACATAAATGAAGAAGTTATGATCGAATCGCTCGATCTACCATGAGCCGTAGCTGCATGGGCACCCTGAGACTGATAGTCTGTGCTTTGGGATCTAGAGTCAACCCCCTCTAAAGCTGTTCTGCCTACCCGAATACCTGGGTTTGAGTTTCTGTTTGGGACAGAATACAGATTTGTGATACCGGCTTGATTCAAATCGTTATCCAAATGGGAGGCATGGGCCTTCATCACGCTAGCGTTCAATTGCAGGCTGCTTTTTGGCAAAATTTGGTTTGACGGCAGTAGAGCAACATGGCCGCTGCCATTGAAGCTAATGTTTGTTGGGATATATTGGTCTAAATGAGTGGTGACCTCATACGATTGGCCATTCAGGCCATGCGCTTTCATCGAAGCTGCGGCTCCCATATTGCTGGCAAGGGGTGCCATTTTGTCGCGGTATGTGTGTAGCAATGAGATCGACTTTTTCCCAGCCCAGTAGGAGGTAACTATACTATACTGAGCCTGTCAATAGACATAGCACTTCCATCATTTGAGAGTACAGGAATCTCAGATCTCAGCGTTTCTATCCATTGTGGGTCCACTCATCGGGAGCCGTTGGTGGCAGGAAGGAGAGAAGCTTGATATAGGGATGTACGAGTTCCTTGAGAGAATGTCAGAAAATGTTCTATGGTTGTTCATAAACTTCTAAGGATACGGTTATAGGACATGAGAAAGGCCTCGAATCACATGGAGCAGGAGTCCATTGACTTACCTGAAATGTAGTTCGAGGGGTTATTGGGGGCAAGAAAAATACTGATTACCCGAACCCATCACTCTCCTTCTACAACGATGCAGCCCTAGAGGATCACAGTGAACTGTAGCAGATCAACAGCCAATTGGGGTTAAACGCCAATAAAATCGAGAGAGTGTGGGCCAGGAATTTGGTAAATCGCAGGGTGATGTGAAACCTGAACTCTGAGGCTATCGACAGTGATTTGGTATTGTGGAAGGGCCCATGCGTATTTTTCAGTCCGAACCACAAGTATGCCACATTCTGCAGGCTGCACTTCCTCTCTGGTTCCCATTCTTCTCTCACTCAGTCCCTTGTTATCGGAAATGTCAGGCATATCTGATGACGCTGTAACTGACAAGACAGTAATTGGGGATAACTCTTCACAATCATCAGTGAATTCTGCATGGATTTTCTACCGGCATGCATGCTTGATGTTCTGACTTGCAGCAGTCCAATAGCGGCAAAAAGCACGCGTGTTCCCCGAAATGAAGCGACTCCGGATCCCATATCAGTGTTAAAGGAAGCCAACAAGGCCAATACTAGTCATACGCTATGCAAATGAGCCTTTACTCCCAGAGATTTCTAAATCGGCGATATGGTGACGTTTCACAATCATAGCCCTGTCTAGCCCTTTCGGGCCTTGTTACATATACTTGGTCTAATCATTTTGCTTCATCTACATAAAGCCAGCTCGGAGACCAGGGGTGATGGCTTTCCTCGGACTTTGGCTAGAGCGCTCACTCGTTACTAATTTTATTATTTCAGCGCGTCGTTATGCAAACTGGCCACCTACAGCGCGCACCTCCAGCGGAAGGTCTCTATCGCATGTCATGAGAAAGTGTTGAAAGTTCTCACGCTATCTCTGTTGGGCCGGGAAAACTATGGGCACCTTCAGAGTATAGCCTTTGCTCCTCTAGATTCATGGTCACTGGGTCTAGAAGATGTAGTTGCCGTGGACACCGGCGGTAGGAGAGGTTACGCCAAAGTCTCTGACTTTCGGAGCATTGATGACGGACGCTATGTCGCGGTTTATACATGACTTTATACTAGAGATGAAGTTGCCGAAGAACGTCAAGTTGAGGGACATCTGTCGCCACCTTCTCGGGGTAGGAGCTCGCCAAGAGTATACGCTC